CCAAACCGTGGCAGACTACGTGGGAGTCCAGCGACATAGCCATTACACTAACTGCTGGTTCCCAGGATTTTTATCTCTTTAGGGTCTTCGAATTATCCAACCTATTCTAGAAAACCAAACTATTCATTACAAAGCTTTCTTCCTTCTCTCTGTTTCTCTCCATATCTTCCACACTATATGTGTGTGGTATTTATATGTAAAAATACATAAAAACTAGCGTGGGAATATGAAATGGAGTTACAGGAACTTTGGAGATTGATAAGCCTGGCTTTGTGTTCTGCTTCACCACTTGTTAGCAGTAAGCTTCTGATCCATAAAAGGAGGATAACTGTGTACTCATGCTGGGGGTTCTTCTGAGATTTAGATGTGATAATGCATTATATGCCTCTGGTACACGCAAGCATTTTATAAATGTTCATTACCGTCGTTAGTCAGTGGCTGGAGAAGAAGGCCTTTGATCATTTGAACATTTGGATAAAGACCAGAATTCATTTAAGATTAAGCTGAGTCCTCAGTAGAAATCAAATCACAGACAAGTGGATTTTTCATATCATTGCGTACGTTTCAAGATAAAATGCATTCTCGAAATCCACATTTTGCTCATAGTCTCACTGAACATGGACAAAGAACGCTACAGACTAACAAACCACACACTGGCAACTGGACTGCTTGGGTATGAAGAGTTTAAGTGGATCGTAGGAATTCTTGGCCTGACTGGAACTTACTCTTCCAAATTAGGTGAGGAAACAGCAGACAGTCTATGTGACAAGCCTTAGAGATGGGGTGGACTTCTTTTCTCTTTATTATGCATTATTAAAAGTGATACAATTTGTTCACGTGAACTGGACATTTGGTATCTACCTTTGTCTCAAGAGACAAGAAGGCTTTCTCCCCTAGTTTGGAAAGCTTGGGTTAGTATTTTACAATCTGTGTTCAAGCAAGGACGTCAGCTGACTCGAGAACCGAATCCCCTGGAATCGTCTCCCAGGATCCCTGAGATCAAGGTCATTTTGGGGCCAGTGTGGGCCAAGGTTCGTTGGCACAAGAAGAGTTCCCATGCTCTCCCTGTCCTCCAGGGAGGAGTGGGATAGGAAACCCATCAAATTAAACCATGGACAGAGCTCCAACTTATCGCTGGATGCTTGGTGTTGCTAGTTTGCTCATGGTGAGAACCATGTGGATCTCTGGATGGTCTCCCCTCCTCTCTCTTTTCCTTGGAGGCTTTGGAGTCACAGGACCACAAACCCAGAGTACCGTTGTTACTCAATTTGTTTCAACCCCTCTTGGAATTTTCTCATCAACAGCATCTTGGGCTCACACTTTGTCTTTCAGAATCTGGACTCTTGTTTGACAAACCCAACCCTTGGTTGCAACCTCTGCTGACAATGTCTGGCTTCTAGTGTGTGCTCCGTATAGTCCTACTCTTTATAACTAGTGTTTGTCTACACAGCTCAGACCAACTCCCGGAGCTGCAAGCTGGTCAGGCTTGCTCTGCCTGCCACAAACTCTAGTCTTATCCTTGAGCATCTCTTTTCCTGCCCACCACATTTATTTAGCTTCTTGCATTTTCATTTTTCTTTCACTTCTATACTGATTACAGATTTAAAGTGTCTGCATTGGGGGCATGGGCTGTAGGGCACCAGTGGGCAACATGGGAGACATATGGGAAGATCCGGGGTTCAGATCTCAAGTCGATATAAGCTTGCCGGGTGCACCCACGATCCTGGATGGCTGGAAGGCTTACGGAGAGGATCATGGTGCAACAGGACTCTATCCAGGGTCCCTGTCTTTCTTCCTCTCTCTCTCTCTCATGAAATAAGTAAATTTACAAACACGTCTGCATTGTGGCAGCAAGAAACAGCAGTTACTGTTCGGAGAGACCACTGTTTGCCATACTCCTAAGTCTTCAAAGCACTTTGGGACTTTACAGAGCATTTTCACCTGCACAATCGTATTTGACCCTCACAACAACCCTGTGAGGTAGGTGTAAACACGTCCACTCTACAGAAGAAACGGTAATGGTGAGACCCACATAGACACACTATGCGCCATTCTGCTATGACCTAACGGGGGGAACCCAAGGCAATGTCTTAGAACTTGAAAGAAATGAGAAATGAGAATTGTAAGAGTGTGTCCCTTCAGTCTTCAGAGACATTCAAGGTAACATGGAAACCTAGGGTTTTTTGATTCCTTCTTTTAAAATCCGTCCTTTCTTACCTTTCTCTATTCTCATTTTCTTTCCTTTTTTTACCTACACAAATGATCTATTTAAATGCTTCTCCAAGATCTGCATTGTATATTCAAAGCATAACATGAAGATAGACTTTTGGAAAAAAATTATCAGCATTATTTTTAAATTATTTTTTCATGATCAAAATGTTTTCATTGGAAATGGCCGGGTAACTTAAGTAAACGAATTTTTATTGCTTGTTCAAATATGCTGAATAAATTGTTCAAGCTCGACTTGACCTCACTTTAAAACAAAACCAAACAAAGCAAACCATACCAAACCAAACAAAAGCAAACAAAAAATAAAACAAGAAAAGATGTGATTTGGAGAATCGGAAGACAGAAAGCTAAACTAAAAAAAATCAAAAGGAAGTTTTAAATATCTAAAGAAATTTTTAAAAATCTTCATCTCCTCTGACTAGCTATATAGTCCTGTTCTTCAGTATAGCGCTGGTATTTGTCTATTTGTCTCTGTCTCTAAGGAAGAATCAGCTCTGCTTTACATCTAAGTGTCCAGATCAAGAAGATAGAGAATACACATGTGCTGAATAAGTGAACCAATGAATAAGCAAATTATTTTCTTCTTTGCCGTCCTTACCTCTGCCTGGGAATTATATTCTGAATGTTAAAAAAACCTCATATATGATCAGAATCTATGAGATTACTCCAAAAACCTAAGCATGCAGACAGCAGAGGGCTTGCGGCCCGATGTCAAGGACTGGTTGGAGTAGCCCACCAGTCAGTTCAGAGGTGTCCAGGCCCAGCTGCTGGGTGTGGGAGTGGTAGTGGGGTCATCCCTGGAGTAGGGAAGATGTAAACATGAGCCCAACAGCACCCAGCAGGGAGAGGAAGCCATGTGAAGCCAGGCATGACGGGGAACCAAGGTTGTTTGTAGGAGCCACAGGGATCTTGGAAGTAGCTGCTGGCGACTTGTCCACAGGAGGAGGGCCTTTTAATGAGGTGGTAGCAGAGACTGTCCCGCCCAACCCCTCTGATCTTAACAGGGCCCTGCCCTAATACGATCAGGGAGTTTCTACTGGTCCTGACACAGATAAAAGAGGAAATCAATGGTTATTTTTATTATCATGCTTGAAAAATATTGAAAATGTATACTAACATAATTCATTATAAAATTGTCTATGCCATAATTAATTAAAGACATGAAATATCAGGCTCTTTCATACAGAATAAGCTGAACTAACATTTTAGAGCCATTTGTAAGAATTCACAAATTATAAAATACATATAACCTTTGGACCCCTGATTCTACTTCAAGCAAATTCTCTGTTAACATCTATTTCCAAAAGATGATATGTGCAAATGTTGACTGTAGCAGTGTTTATTAAAGGCAACCCAAAGCAAACAAAAATCTCCAAGTGTTCAGGGCCGGGGGACTGACTGTGCTGTGGTCATCAGGGTCTAGCTGCCTGATGGGGTAAGTGTGACCATCGTGAGAAAAGAGGCAGACCAGATGGAGTGGGAGGGCCTCATTACCTTGAGCAAGGAAAACGCAGAACGTGCTATTTAGAGGTTTATGTATGTGAGTTTTTCTCCTCTTTTTCTGAAACATTATGAGGTTGTTACACACTCTCCATGGGGAGGGCCTGGAGGGAAGGCCAGAGACCATACACAGTTTATATACACAGACACGTGTCTCTTTCCGCTTTTTCAAAGAAAGGATGCAGTTGAACTCCAAAATAACCATGAACATATTTCTGAACATATCTGAAAAAAAATTATTCAAGGCCTTTGATAACCTCAGATAAAAGGAGACCGTTTTAGTTTGTGGACTGAATATTATGGGAACTCAGTTCACAAACTAAAAACTACATTTTTATTTGACAAATTTGACTAGAGTTAATGTCTAGAAGCTCAGTGAAAGTCTCAGGAAAAAGGAGATGAAGAACAAAAGAGAAATAAAGGTATATCAAGATAGGGACGAGAAAGTTCAAGAGGCGGTACCTGAAAAACGGAGCGAAAGCAGAGATGAGGGTAAGAAGAGTAATGTATTCGGCAGGCCAAAGTGACCACACTGAAGGCTAAGTGGACAGAAAGGGAAGACTTACTAATGTTTCCCTTCTCTTAATATATCAATAACAGTACTCTCTAAGTGCTACTAATGCTATCTGAGAAGGTAAATAAGGCTCTGTTCTGCTTTGGAAGCGTTGAGGTTACATTACACGCTATTGGGTGGTGTTCACCATGATTCTGAATTGTGTAAAAGTGGGATCCATACAGCGTATTAGGTTAAAATGATTATTGTTCTGAAGGCAGAGAAATTGTTATTGTATTTTTTAAAAGAATTATTTATTTAGTTTAATTATTGTTATTGTATTTTAATTTGCTATAGGGGACTCACCAGAGGAAGACAGAGAGAAAAAGAGAAGGAACATGAGAAATCAAGTCACCAGGTCTGGGACTCAAACCACAATCAGCCTTGTGGGAGTCCAGCACCCCAACCATCATGACACTGCTGGCCTTGATATTGTATTTCTGAAAACAGTGATGATAACAGAGATCTGCTAGATTTGAGTACCTTAATCAGTCTACGACAGGCCCTGAGGAATACAGATGACGATCACAGTGTTGGTGTCAGCTATTCCCATGACACATGCAAGTCACTTGCAGCATCGACTAGAAACACAGGACAGGAGCGCTTTGACTCTGAGATGTCAAGGGGGCTTCCCCCTTCCTCTTCCTAATGCTTGCCCTGTGTCAGAGTGCATTTGGGCTAGACATTCAATCGGCTTATGGCCTGGCAAATCGAGGACATCTACTATTTAGTGTGTATGGTTCAATTTTAGGTACTTTGTGTTGCAACATGAAGTCAGCATTCCAGTGACAAAGACCCCTGTTACAAATTCTGCTACGGAAGGGAAGGTCTAAGACATGGAATACTATTTTTCAAGTTTCTAGCAACACAAAACAAAACAAAACAACAACAACAACAAAACACAAGAAAGCAAATCCAGGCATCAGGGAATTAGTCTACCAAGGTTATGAGACTGTCCAGAACTCCCACATACACGGTCTCGGTTAGCTCAGTGAGACGGTAAGAAGGCCGTAATTATTTCTATTCAGACACTTGGCTTTCCTTCAGTGCATAGTAGATTTGAAAATGGAAAAAATCTTCTCTGTGGAATTTTTAGAAAATAGTGCTTATCACAGCAACGGAATACAACTTGGTTATGAGACTGAAAGGGCTGCATAATTTAATCTATTTGTTTTACTCCAATTAGCTGCTTCGCTCACATGAGGCTGTGGCCTCTTTCCACGGCGTCTCTCTTGGACTGATGCCGCAGTTCTCAACGTTTGTCTCCAGCCAAGACCACTGCTAGTGCAATCTCATTTATCACAAAAATGCAACCAGAAAATAAAAAAAAAAACTATAAACTTACTTGGTGTGCTTCCACTCCCTTTCTCCCCCTTCTGGCCTTTTGGTCCAGGATATCCTTGAAAATAACAACAGAAATTTATTTCTTAATGAGGGTAATTCACAATGCTTGTTTTACATGGAGACAGCATCACAAGGTAATCTATCAAAGTGTAGCAATCTACAGAGAAGGAAGCCCTATTATGATACACGCTAGTTTTGTGCTATCTCAGATAATGCACAGGGCATGACGTGTCTGGTTTCCTAACCCAGGCAAAGCTGATGTAGAAGCAACTTGTTTTGTGCTTAGTCATGTTTTTCTTCCCCTTCCTGTGACGTTGCCTTCTTTCCATCCACGGGGAGCTGAGAGTCTTCCCTCTCATCCTAAACCTGTTCTTCGCTTCCCATTACAATCGATCTAACTTTCCATTTCTTTAAAAAAAAATTTTAAATATAGTTTTAAAATTTGTTTTATACAGTCACTGAACATCAGCACAGTTTATAAAATGAGTTTTTCCAGCATAAATACACTGTACACCCGTCCACTCTGTTATCATCAACAGACAATCCTCAATTTCTGTGTCCCGTAATGTCTTGCCTCTCTATTTTCCTCCTTGTCATTTTCCATTTCTTTATGGTAGAGCATCCCAGAGACTGAGCCGTGAATGAATTTCTGAGAGTGGTGAGATTCTCTTCACCTCTGCCCTGGGGAAAGTATAGGTCCTTGGGACATCCAGTCCTGCAGGCTGCTCGTGTGTGGCTTTGAGAAACCTCATTAGCTCAGGGGGTAACAAGCATCATTTTATGTGAAGATCAGGGCTTCAAATAGATGAAAACATGCAGGACACATGTTAACATAGGTATCAGTAGATATGAAAACATAAAACAAAGACTTGGGTGTTTGTGAATGGGTTGCTTCTTCACCCATGATTCCATTTTTAAAGAGCTATCAGGAAGTGTCTCACTAGTATGAGAAAGAGATTCAGTGGGAACAACTTTCCAGTGGTGCTGCTCTTATTTATCTTCCCCGATAGTCACCAAATATCTGTCACACGAGCATCTTGGCCTATACCTACGACTGATTCTAGTACCCAAAGTTTCTTTGTTCCTTTGTTCCTTTCTTTCTCTCTTTCTTTCTTTTTTGAGAGGTTTTTGCTATAGGGCACATGTGCTTGCCAGAGAGACAGAGAGATAGAAAGCAAGAAATCACCCCCTGGGGGGAATGGCCACGCAATCCCTTCTCCTCCATTCTCCTCTTGAGATTCTGGGCTCACATGCGCATGTGCCTGGCGTGAGTTTAAGCCACCGGGTCCGGGACTTGAACTGCGGTCGACTACATGGGAGTTCAATGCCATAGCCATTACACTAACTGCTGGTCCCAGTACCCAAGAAAAATAACATTTCTATCTTCCCATCCATGAGTTCAAAGGATATACTTTAACAGTCATGAACTTTGTAATAATAATAATTTAAAATCCCTGTCTTGAATTGTTTCACTCTGCCACTTCATAGGTGTATAGCCCAGGACGAGTCTTTAAACATTTCTGAGCTAATATTTAATCTTCTACAAAATGAAAATATAACACTTTCCACTGAAGAGTTACCCTGAAAACGACCAACTATGATCTTGAAGCACCTTGTCCCTAGAGAGGCATGTAAGTGATGGTGGCTTTTAGTAACAGCATTTCTGTTTTTCGCCTCCTAAATCTTAGCTAGGATCTGCTGGGTTTTATTCTCAGTAAATGTGAGATATGAACCACCTTAGTTCACTTTTATTTCACAACCACGTTTAATTTTACTTTAGCATCTTCGTATCTGTTTACTTGTTTACTTGTTTGGTCCTTTCCTTTGTCTCTGTACTTGCTTTTGAATATTAGTCCTTACACACCTCTTAGAGGAGACTTTTGGCTCCTAATTTACCAGATTTAAAAAAATATAATATAGGCCCAGCCACAGTGGTGCATACTTTCTCCACAGCTGGGACAATAGGGGAGACTCAGGTTTAATTTCTGGTCCAAGAAAGATGCCAGACACAGTGTCATGAGTTAGTAATCCCGAAGATTTGGGGAGAACGAGGTAAGTTTGAGGCTGGCCAGGCCACAGAGTGAAGCCCTGTCTAAAAGGACATCACCACCAGGCCACCAGGGTATGATGGTGAATACCTGTAGGCCCAGCTGGGATGCTGAGGCAGGAGGATTGTGATGGAGATTAGAGATGAGTTATCTCAAAAGTATAACTTATTTCCAATTGATTTTTTTTTTTAAAGATTCAGTGAAATGCCAAGTATTCCCTAGCCGAGTATTATGAAGATAATTTTCTAATTCTCTAATTGCTTTGTATATTGTGATTATACTTTATTGCTTTAAATTCTCTTTTTAATTGCGATTCAGTTATTATTTCAGGTACTAATAAATTGGACAAAGTCACCAAGTTAACACAAAGCACCCAAACCGTTCCTATTCAGCTGGCGAGCGAGCGTGTGTTTGTTGTTGTTGTCTGGGCAAACACGCCAGCCAGGCCACACTCCCCCTGGGTGTCCCCCTGAGGAGCTGGGGCTGCAGGGCCACCTTCCTGTGCTGTGTCGTGATGCTGAGTCAGACACTTACACATGTGCCTTCGTTCGTCCTGACAAACTTTTCCACAGCTGTGGGCCCTCCCCTGGCTTCTAAGTTTCAAGATGGAGTCACTCCTCCTCAGCCTGACGCTTCATCCTGGTTCCCAAGCCTTTTCCTTCCACTCTCTCATTAACCTTACACCATTTACCCTTCTTTCCTCCAATCTTTGACCACTACTTTGCTTCTTTGTTTCTTTTTTTTTTTTTTTCTGTCAACATTTAAATAGTATTCAAATGTTTTCTTTCAAGAAGAAGAAAGAGGCTGGCCCGGTACTGCAGTCGATCCACACTGTGCATTGGGAGCCAGATGTGCCGAGGTGGATCTATCAAACCACAGCCCCATGTGGGTCCAGCTTCCTTTACCACGATGCAATGGACTGGCCTGCTCTCTGGACATTCCTTCCCACCCTGATGCTTCTGCTCAGTCTGCTCCTTGCTGTAAGTGTCAGCCTCTGGTCTGCCTCTACCCAGGCTTCACACCTCCCACCCTCTACCCGAGAGCATGATTCATTCCGTGGTTCCAACGAGCACTCATAGAGTCACCGCCATGGTCTTGTCTTTCGTTCTCTGGCCTCTCCCCTGGGCCCTGCACGCATATATCCCTGTGTGTGTGGGTATCGCCATGGCTGACACAGAGAACATGTTTGCTGCGTGAGCAAATGAATCATGTGGAGTATACAGATTTAATGCTCCTTAGAGTGACTGTTACGCAGCCTTCCGATAATCGTCAGACTTTGGATGGGCGCCAAGAGGCTAACTGGAGAGAAGCCTTTTATTTACACACCGGAAGAACCACTTTGTTAAACCAAGTTAATTCCTGGGGTCCTCCGGGGATTTTGAACACAGAAGAGGTTACATTTCAATTCAATCCTCAAACCTTTCTGAAGTAACTACGTCAGATCTTATAACCGCTCTCATCTACAGATCTGCTGGGTGAAGGGTAGTCTCCCCTTTCTCTGCTCATGTGTGCATTCTTTCTGTGAAGGCCTGTGTCTCTTCGCCCCTCGTTTTCTGAGCTAGCACCATGTCCTGGGTGTATCCTGTGTGCTTAACGCAAGTACAAGGAAGGGTGGGAAAAGAGGAGGAGGAGAGAAAATAGGAAAAAGTAAGCAGGCATGCTCTTTCTTGAAACTTTGAGTTTAGATCTAATAACACGATTAATGTCACGCTCATAGTCCAGGTCGTGACAACAGTTAGAATATTCTCGTTTTCTGAGCTAGCACCATGTCCTGGGTGTATCCTGTGTGCTTAACGCAAGTACAAGGAAGGGTGGGAAAAGAGGAGGAGGAGAGAAAATAGGAAAAAGTAAGCAGGCATGCTCTTTCTTGAAACTTTGAGTTTAGATCTAATAACACGATTAATGTCACGCTCATAGTCCAGGTCGTGACAACAATTAGAATATTACAATTATTGTGGCCAGCAGTTAGCGTAATGGCTATGTCACTGAACTCACATGTAGTTGACTGCGGTTTGAGTTCCAGACTCGGTGACTTAAAAGTCATACCATCGCCTGTTCGTGCCCAAGATCCTGCGAGGAGAATGGAGGAGAAGGGATTGCAGCGTGGCCATCCTCCCTGGGAGCTGATTTCTCGCTGGGACCAGCAGTTAGCATAATGGCTATGTCGCTGGACTCCCACGTAGTCGACCACGGTTCACATCCTGGACCTGGCGGCTTAAACTCACACCGGGCGTGTGTTCGTGCGTGCCCAAGATCCCGAGAGGAAAATGGAGGAGAAGGGATTGCGGTGTGGCCATCCCCCCTGGGGGGGTGATTTCTCGCTTTCTGTCTGTCTGTCTCTGTCTAGTGAGCACATGTGCCCTATAGCAAAAACCTCTCAAAAAAAAATGAATATTACAATTATTAGAATTTATCTGACATTTTACCACCTTATTTAAACCCAGATAGAACAGGAATTCTGTATTATTCCTTCTTTTTAAAAGTTTATTTATTCCATGAGTGAAGGAGACTCAGAGTGAGAGAGAAATCACCACTGAGAGGGTCTCGGTGCCGCGATCCCCCCCAGTCTCAGCCAGCCTGCACCATGGGTGCACACATGCCCGGCGGACTCGGGAGGTCTGCACACACAAGTCAGCAGCCTTCCCATGTGGGCCTGCAGCTCAGAGCAGTGCACTTCCCGTGGCACCGCTGCCCAGCCCTGTACTCTTCCTTCACCTTTTATTTATTTATTTTGAGAGAACGAGAGGACCCCCCATGGGGCATGGTCAGGTCACAATCATGCTCCCTCATTTCTCCATGCTGTCTGAATTCTGGGCACACACACTCGCTGGTGTGGTTTTCGAGCAGAGGGCTCTGGAATCCAACCTGTGGTCAGCCATGTGGGATCTGGCTCCCAATGCATAGCACTTAGCCATGTGCTTCACGACCAGCCTACCATTCCTTCTTCTTCTTCTTCTTCTTCTTCTTCTTCTTCTTCTTCTTCTTCTTCTTCTTCTTCTTCTTCTTCTTCTTCTTCTTCTTCTTTTTTTCTTTTTTTAGAGAGATTTTCACTATAGGGTACATGCACTTGCCAGAGAAACAAGAGAGAGACAGAGAGACAGGAAGCAAGAAATCACCCCCACTAGGGGGATGGCCACACTGCAATCCTTTCTCCTCCATTCTCCTCTTGGTATTTTGAGTACACATATACACATGCCCAGCGTTAAGTTTTAAGTCACTGAGTCTGGGACTCTAACTGTGGTTGGCCAGGTGGGAGTCCAGCCATAATCTGCTAGTCCCCTATTATTCCTTTTTCTAATCTGCCGTATGACTAAAGGGGCCCCAGAAACTGCTGCTCACCCTTCTACCAAATTCTTCCAATAATAAAGTGATAGAATAAAGATACGCTTGTGGCGGGGTTTGTTACTTCTGCTCTGACTTTGTTCCGGCAGGGTTTTCCATTCTCCCTTCCCCTCCTGCCCCCAAAGATATGGTCCTCAAAGTGTGGTCTCTGCAGCATCCTCCTCGTCCTCCTGGAACGTGGGAGAGAGAGCCCAATCCCAGGCCTGTGGAACCAGACATTCTGGGGTGGAGCCCAGCGAGCTGTTAACAGATCTATCAAGTGATTCTGACCGCTGCGAATGTCTGAGACACAGAAACCTAAAGAAATTCGAGTCATCTTTTTAGAACTGAGCTAATCTCTCCCTGCTGTCTGCTCCCACGGCACTTGGACTGATCTCAGGGCCACGGGCTTCTTAGCACACTGCAGCCCAGCTCGCTGCCTATGCCTCTTCCCTTTCCTGCTCCTTGTGATCACGGCTGCACGACACGTATGTCCAGCGCACAGCGGGCCGCAGAATAGCGTGGGGCTGGGTAATGAATTGGAGAATGCTCTCCCAGGACTTTGACAAGTGGACATTTGCTCAACTCTAGCAGTTTGAGAGTGACACACATACAGAGCATGCCATGCAACAAGAACTGCTCCAAGCAACTTAAGACAGATATTCATTCATTTAATTTTTACACAAGTCTAAAATACGGGTCTTATAATTAGTACTCTTTCTTTATTTTTGAGAGAGTTTTGCTATAGGGCACATGCACTCGTGCGAAACAGATCAATGGGAAGAAAAGTGGTAGCACTTTCTTAACAGTCCTCAAAATTATTCCTGTTCTCCATTTTGTACAAACTTTCTAAATTTACAAAATAGTAACTCTGGGTTTTCATTGGTAACATCGTAAATTAGTGACATAGCTAATAGTGATATTTAGGCCGTAAGCTAATTCTCTCACGACAAAAGATAAGTATGTGAGGCATTGCAGAAGCTCAGCTCGGTTTAACCATTTCATAATGTCTATGTATTTGAAGACATGCTTCATACGATACATACATACAAGCTTTATTAATAAACAAAAACAAGAATTCTTTTGATTTAAGGTAAGTAAAAACCTACAAATAGCTTGGAATAGAAAGAGTTTAAAACGAAAGTTTACCATGACATTGCTAGAGATATAAGTGACCATTACTATTTGCAATCATAGACTGCTAGTAGATCGTGTTAACATTTTTTTCTTAGCTAGAGTGTGTGTGTGCATGTGTGTGTGTGTGTATGTTTGTGTGTGTATGTGTGTGTGTGTGTGTGTGTGTGTGTGTATGTACCAGGGGTAGACAGAGTAGGGAAGGGAGATTAAGAAAGTATTCCCCAAAGGGGGTGTTCACGCTGCAATCCCTTCTCTTCCATTTCTCTTTTCAGGATTTTCGTCATGCACACACATGTGTTGGCACGTATTTCAAGCTACCTGGTCCAGTTATCGAACCACACAATTGGCCATGTGGGATTCAGCCACCTTAGCCACCATGCCACAGAGTATCCTGACCATGTTAATTTTAAACTTAGAGGGCAAATGAACTATTTTTTCTCATGTCACGGGATTATTTAGAATGATCTTGGAGTCTATAGGTAGTTTTGACTTTGTGTTAAGTTTAAGGTTTTTCAATGTATTTATCTATTGAACAAAAGTTGTTCACAAAGGAAGTGCAATAATTTCTGTGCAGTGTAGATCACTTCAAATAAATTAACAAACACCCTTCATCTTGTAGTGCAGCAGGGCCTGATTAAAGCTCTGTGGTTTAGGGACCAGTAGTTGGTGTAATGGCTATGTTGCTGGACTCCCATGTAGTCGACCGTGGTTCGAGTCCTGGACCCGGTGGCTTAAAACTCACGCTGGGCGCATGTGCACGTGTGCCCAAGATCCCGAGAGGAGAATGGAGGAGAAGGGATTGCAGCGTGGCCATCCCCCCTGGGGGGTGATTTCTCACTTTCTGTCTCTTTGTCTCTGTCTGTCTGTCTGGCGAGTGCACGCCTCTCAAAAAAAGAAAAAAAAAAAGCTCTGTGGTTTAGAGGTGGCTAGTATATAAACACACCGCACGGCTCAGGCGCACGGAGCTTACTGGAAAGCAGCAGAGACTGCTAACTTGTGGCTAGCTGACTTTTCCCCAAGCTTAACTGGCCTTCACACAGTTCAGAGACCCTGACAGCGTCTGCAACGCTGCAACACACCTATCAGCATTGCGAGAACCCAGAACACTGACAACGCCAAACGCCAGTGAGACCGTGGGGCAGCAGGAACGCATTGGTGGCTGACAGCAGTCAGTATGACAGAACAGCTTGGAATACAGATCCGCGGTTTCTCGTCGATACCGACCACCATTTGCCGTGTGATCAGCACCTGCATTCCTAGGGCAACTCACCCCGTGCCGAAACTGGCACATACGGGCTCAGAACAATAGTTTTCTTGATTTCTAAATTTGGAAGCAACCCAGATGTCCTTCAATAGATGAACAAATAAATGGTGGTAAATCCATAAAGTGTAATATTACTGAGTATTGAAAACAAATGAGCACTATGGCCGTGAGAAGATGAGGAGAAATCTTATATACATATTGCTGAGTGGAAGAAGCCAGTGTGAAAAGATGACCTACTGCATGATTCAATTCCATGACATTCTTTAACAGGCAAAAGTACGGAGTCAGTTAGAGATCAGTGGTCGCTGAGGGGACCCGAGGGAGGGTGGAGGTGACGATGAGTGATCACAGGGACTCTTTAGGGCAGTGAAAGGATTCTGTGGAATACCGTTAGGTAGATACATGACACATCTGTCAAACCCAGAAATACGTACAGCACCCAAAGTAACCCCTCTTGTAAACTAGGGACTGTAACTAATAGTAATGGATCATTATCTGTGTATTAATTATTACAAATATACCACAACAAAGCAAGATGTTAATAATAGGGGGAATTGAGTGTGGGTGTTTTATGAGAGAACTCTGTACTTTCTGCACAATTTTTCTGTAAACCTAAAACTCCCTAAAAAATAAAATCTATGGGGACCAGCGGTTAGCGTAATGGCTATGTCGCTGGACTCCCATGTAGTCGACCATAGTTCATGTCCCAGACCCGGTGGCTTAAAACTCATGCCGGGCACTTGTATGTGTGTGCCTAGGATCCTGGGAGGAGAATAGAGGAGAAGGGATTGTGGCATGGCCATCCCCCCGGGGCGGGGGGTGATTTCTTGCTTTCTGTCTCTCTGTTTCTGTCTGTCTGTCTGGCGAGTGCACGCGCCCTATAACGGAAACCTCTCCAAAAATAAAAAAATAAAATAAAATAAATAAATAAAATCTATGAAAAAAATATGTCAATAGTAGGGGCCTTGTTTTTTGGCAGTACTTTGTAATGAGGAAACAGTAAGCATATCCCCTTCTAAAAGTGCTCTGTAAAGTTGACAATCCCAAGCTGGGCAGCTGTCCCCCATGACCAAGGGAAATAGCTTCATGTGTGTACATTTTCTATTTTCTTTTTTGAGAGAGATTTTTGCTAAAGGACACATGTGCTCACCGGAGAGACAGAGAGAGGGAAAGTGAAAAATCACCTCCCAGGACCTCTTGCCACACTGCAATCCCTTCTCTTTCATTCTCCTCTCAGGATCTTCTTTTTTTTTTTCTTTTTTTTTTGAGAGGTTTTCGCTATAGGGCGTGTGCTCTCGCCAGACAGACAGAGACATAGAGACAGAAAGCGAGAAATCACCCCCCAAGGAGGATGGTCACGCCGCAATCCCTTCTCCTCCATTCTCCTCTCAGGATCTTGGGCACGCACGCACACGCGCCCGGCGTGAGTTTTAAGCCACCGGGTCCGGGACGCGAACCGCGGTCGACTATGTGGGAGTCCAGCAACATAGCCATTACGCTAACTGCTGGTTCCCTCTCCTCTCAGGATCTTGAGCACACATGCACACATGTCTGGCAGGAGTTTCAAGCTGCCAGGTCTGGGATTCAAACCTCATTTAGCCATGTGGGAGTCCAGCGCCTTAACCACTACAGCGCCTGCTTGCTGTCTGTTCTTTTTAAAATGCTGAGCGATTGTTGATTATTAAGCACTCGTAAATATTAGGGGGCAGCTTATATTGCAAAGGCATTTTATATTTTACTCACGGTAACATACCGGCGTTTGGCAAGTTTTAGTTCAGAGCGTATTTATACTTTACTGGTTTGTCTTTCCACTCTCTACTTTGTGAGATAAATCCTGTCCTTCACAGTGATTTATGATGTGTAGAATTTATAATCACAGGATTTTGTTTTTCTTTTTAAAGCTATTTTCCTTCAGGACATAGAGACTTCCCTCAGATGGACAAAACTCAGCTTCAAAATGTTTTATACCAAAAAATAAACTGCATGTGAATGCTGCAATTCATACCACGATGACCATTATATGTTACTAAGAATTTGGAAAAAAAACAAACTGTATACACCTGGTGTTTCTTGTACATATTCTCCAGAGAAAAGACACTTGATCGTAATTACCTGGCCTTCCCATCTTCCCTGCTGCTCCTGGGACTCCTCGACTTCCAGGAAAACCAATTGCGCCCCGATCACCTTTAAGTCCTGGAGAACCTACATGGTTAATGAAAAAAAAAAGTGGGAAATAATTTTTCCTTCAGATTCAAGAATATCATGGAACAGTCTAGTTTCAGAAATGAATTTGAAATAGGCGACCCTCCACATGGAGAAATACGGTCTTTCCTGAAATGCCGGGGGTACCACTGAGAAGTAGACGCGATACACAGGTAAACACTAGAGCGTCTAGGACATTGTAGCTCTCCAATGAACACGACATTACTGAGAGAGATAAAACCACGTAAAAAACAAAGCTTGGAGTTTTAACAAGGCTTACACAGTCAATGAGAAATTGTAAAATGGCAGGATTTTGCTTAAGTGGAAATGATAAACTTGAAATACATGGGCTAAAACCTGAATGCTTAAGGTGTGCTTTAGAAAAAGCACAACTCAAGCAATGAAATCTTCGAAGAGTATTTGTGGTAAAAATTCTGCTCCTAGTTCTGGAATGTATTACTTTATGTCTCATGGGTCTATTTTTACATATTCCAATGCCATCCTCAATGTAAATACACACACACACACACACACACACAGTATACAGATTTACTTATATATATAAAATCTCCAGGGTTTATATATTTAAATGAAAACTAAAAATGACAACATTTTTGCCGCTTATCTCATGGGTGATGATAAAAACTGCATGGAAAAGAAAATTTACCTTCCTATGGAAGACCATATTTTACCCTACTGTTTAATAATTTGAGATAAACCACAGTAAAATAAAATAATTTAAGTGCCTCGTGTTATCTCAAGTGACATGGTCAGTTCACCAAAATACCACTCATCCAATTTTCAGTTAAGTCCTTGGAGAGGCACATTCCGAAAAGTTGACTTTTCATTTTTTTCCAATATTAGCCTTTTAGAATGTAGTCTTCATTTTAGGAGTTGAAGGAGACTGGGCTTTTTTATATTTAATTCATTAAAATAAGTTTTCCTTGAGGTTCATTTATACAGATATCTAAAACTGGGCTAACTTAAGCATTTATTTTAAAAGTACATTATACTAAAAAAAAAAAAAAAAAAAAAAAAGAACCACCAAACA